AGGAAACGTTGTACCAATGCAGTTTATTTTTGCCAACAATTATTCAGACACCAGCATCAGTTATATAGTATCCTATTTCAACCTACGTATCCCAAAAAAATAACTCCTGCATGCGTAGCATGCCTATGTTGAGAGAGATGTATTCAGTTAAGCGATGGCTACAAAGGAAAGAAAAAAACAGAACCGTTGGATTTATCCCTTCTCGACGAATAGGACAAAAACATGTGTCACTTTTCCTTCATATATACTTCGAAGTTAAATGCACGAGGACCGATACTCAAGAAAGTGTCGTGAGAAACCGAATGGCTCCCGGTTAGCTCAACTGGTATAAATCGCATCCCGGTTAGCTCAATTGGTATAGCGCCGGACTGTTGTGAGGGAGGTCGAGAGTTCAAATCCGGCCGGACCAACACTCAGGGTCTTTAAATAACTGAGTAGAAATTGCTGCCTTTGTAATAATTTCGGCAAACGGTTAGACTTTGTAGCCTTCTCGGATAGGAACGATAAATGGAGGTCCCGTCTCACAACCCCTTATATCTGACTTAAATTTGTGGGACGTTGAAGAACCCACACACTCCTCGAAAAGAGTAGGGCACGTAGTTCCTGGTGTTGTGCTCTATCTTTGTGCAGTGTCTATCCAGGGTTAATTGGGGGGAGGGGTGGTGCCTCGCATGGACCTTGTGTTCCGTTCGCACTAACCCTTCCGGGTCTAGTCACACCCGGTAAAGTCGTTAACAAACAAACAGGCTAATTGTCAGAGATTGGAATTCTCAAGGAGATTGCTGAACAGCTGTATTGTAAGTTAATGGTTCACTAACATCACGATCGCGGTTGTGGTTGCCGTTGTAGGTGTAGGGGCTCTGTATCATTATCTTGCCCACTTTGAACGCCTGGAGACTAATATGGTTGGATAATTCGGTGTACTTAGAAGACTGTTAGGTTGGTAAGGTGAAATTCAAAATTCACGTGTCGCTTGTTCTATTAGGAGACTGCAATAAGCATCATAATGGAGTTCAGTTTGGACAAAGACGTTCAAATTCGTTGTAAAAGTAGTTGTGCGTAGCTGTACGTTTTGACAAGGTGGAGTGTACTTTTATTTGATGTTTTCTAATACCCTCACAAGTTACAATATGAAAATTTCTCACCCACTCAGATGTAAAGGCCTACCACTAGACCTGATTAGCCTCATACGGCCTAAACAGGTCACGTGGTCTGAAATGGGTAGACAACAGTCGCGGCTCTAGCAAATTAACTGCGAAGCGTAGAGAATATATAGTTCACTTTCGTTGCGTATGAAACTGGCACAATAGTTCCTCAACTTTGGATTTGTCTTTTCATAAATACCCTGAAGATTCAAAGCCTGAGAAGTCAGGCTGCATGCGATATTTCTTTAACTTCTAGTTATATAAATTTGTGTTTTAATGATCTGCATGAGTGAATGGTCTTCGTCTCGTCTGGATTTCTATACTGAAATATAATTCGACTTTTCTTCGAGGGAGTTTAATTTAATTTAATTTAATAATAAGTTCTTATATAGCGCATTAAAACCGAACTCTATGCGCTTCACAATCACAAATCAACAAAATTTCAATAAAAATCCTATACATGCAATTCGCTACTCTATCTAAACTAATGAATTATTACGTGTTATACATATGTTTGACAACGTACGATATCAAAAAATCTGGT